ATTGGACATGTTGGGGGGGTACCCCTCGGTCTCATTTCTTGCTGGGTATATCTGCCAAATGTGGTGGTGCCAGACTATCTTGGGCTCCATGCCTCACTTTTTTTTTTAACATGTTTAAAAAATTTAGATATACCGGTAAAACTAATACAAAGTTTAGATAATTGAGCATCTTAAATAAAATAATCCGTCATGAACTTCTTTTTTCATTGCTTTCATTTTTAATCTTATCCAAAATAAAAAGGAAACCTTGCTTTTATTTCAACATGGCCAACTTCTGAATAAGGTCAACTGGGTTGTTGTGGACTGTTTAAATATTTCTGGAAAATGGCAAGATGTCGCAATGACAAACTACCAGTCCATTTCCTTTTAATTCAGCCTTGGTGTTCACATTTTGTATTGCTGTCAGATAACTAATACCGCAGAAACCGAGACATCCTCATGGCAAGAGGGAAATGGGCCAAGACAAACATCAATCAAGAAGTCCAAGAGGCCATCCACAGCCAGAGCTCTCCACTTGTGTCCCGAATTCAGAAATGCACAGGTTGACGGTCCAAATAGCCCCGGGTTACACTCAGTCAGTTCTTTTGAGGAAGGTACACCTCCACAGCGTGAGATGAATAGAGATGGGTATGGTGGTACAGAAAACAGCAGTAAAATGCAAAGGGACAATGACGGAGTTGGATGGGCTACAGTGACAGGTAACGATGAAGTTGCAAAAGATAGGAAAACAAGTAGTAACAGAAAGGATATCAAGTCAGATGACGAGGAAGAGCCATTGGCTTGGCCATTACATTACTCATCGGTAGAGCCATCCAAGCAGGACAAAGCAATGAGTGCCAGACAGCCATGTCTGTCTAATCCAGGGCATCTGCAGACAAACTCCAAGTCTCTTCCCTGCTCACCGTTCCCTGCATTCAGCCCGGACAATGGCAACTGCCCATTCCTGGCCAACGTCTCCAACAGGCCCAGGTCACGTTCCAGTCTTGGGGTGTCTGAAGCCTCCCGGTCGCCGTTTGGGTTTTCCGGAATCCGCGGGGGCAGTCGAGCCATGTCTTCAGTTTTAGCCTGTGGGATTGAGGACAGTCTTCATCAAATGCAATCCTCAGCTGTTGTGCCCTACGCCCTCAGCCTCTCACCCATCCCAGATTGGAAGCTTCCGCCGCCCGCATGGAAGTCTCACAGCAGTCTAGTTCGAGAAACTAACTGGCCACTAGTCATTCCACTCAGTATGAAAGATGCCTACAATCTGTCTCATTCTCCGGTACATTTGGTCTCTGGCTGCCAACCCACGCAGACATCTAGAGATTCCTTTCCAGGTTTCTCTTTGAAAGGCATAAGCCCATCACCGAGTCTCATTCGTCCAGTGCTAACCTCATTTCCCAGGATGGCTTTTTCACAGGGTCAGACTCGGAATGTGTACCCTCAAGAAGTATCTCTTTCCACCCTCTCACGAGACCAGACACCACAGTTATCTAGGAATTTGTTCAGACCAATATCCACAAGAAACACCCTGTCGCCGTCTTTCCCTTCAGATCAGAGCCTGTCCAGTGGCATTCTGTCCCAGTCTTGGGATCTCGGAGCTTTCGTTCCACAGGCCTCACCACTGCCAACCCCTAAGTGCAGCCTCTCACCTCTTGTGGGTTACCCTCGCTCACAGTCTACACCTGTGATAGGTCACAAGTTGCCTCCCCAGTCATGTCACCCATCTTCGCTGCAAGCTAATGCAATTTCACCTCCAAGTAGAAACTTCCACAATCTTGGCAGCAGCCCATCAACGATTCCTACAGGTACTCAGCAAACCATCAGCGGAAATGGTTTGGTGTACATTTCAAGTTCTTGCATGTTGTAGGATCTTGGAAATGTGCATGTACCACCTACCTAAACAAATCTCTTTAATGGAAAACAAATTTACAATAAATAATGAAATCTTTGACTCGACCCGCCATTGTACTGAATACTTCGAATATATTTACAGGTAGTTGTCGAAACTGACAGGATTTTAATTGATAGCTTTTGCTTTATACAATTCCCTCTTATTCAATGTTTTTAAATTGTAGTATGTATCTTTTTTGAAATGTGGTTTCGCATGCACATTGACTGAAATGTGTCCTTTTTTTTGTCTTATTTTATAATTAGGCGTCGGTTTTTAAATAATCCATACAAAACACGTGATCATTATTCAATTCTGCATTAGAAATGCTGAATTATTTCAGCTCTTACTGATGTAAAGTCATTTTGCAGTCAAGTTTTTTCAAATTGTGTATGAAGTTAACACGAGATTTCAAACTACTTATATATGTATTACAATTAAGATTTTGTGGTATCCATTCTGCAATGCCCACAACTACATGTACCTTGAAACCAGCATTGTTCAGTATTTGCATTCCATGTACATAAAATGTTCACTTTAATAGTTCCTGTATCATTTTCTGTCATCAGGGTTGAAATTTTGAATGCGGTAAAAACTCGGGAGTGCTGCTTTTCATCAGTGTTGACCCAAACCCACAAAAAGATAATTTTGTGGGTTTTTTTTGTCAGCATTTTAATTTGAATTCACCGGTAGGCCATTTTTTCAATGGAGAGGTCCTGTTGTGCATCAAACCTGCAAGGAGGATGGGTTTTTCTTCATACATGATGCCATTAGATATGTTAATAGTGTCATTTATTTTACTATCAAATATTTCTCCCAGGAAAGACCTCAGGTTTGGTGCCCTCAAGACATTTCAGGGGAGTGAACACGACAATTTCATTTTTATCTGTAAAAAGGGGGGGAACACTTTTCTTAATTTTAGCTTTGGATGAAATGTTTCAATGTTAAACGCATTTAGTTTAAGTTCACAATACTTCAATGTAAATTGATTTGTACATTTTGTAATTTTTAATTGTGTACAAGCACTATGCAATGTCTTGCATGCGGTATCTGCATACAATTGACTTCCTTTGTATCAAAATTGATTTTCATACATTAAATATGAATTTATATTTAGTATTTTTGCCAGAATGGTAGACAACTAGAATAGTTAGTTAAACCTGTGACACAAAAATTTTTTGAGTCGTACATGTATTCATATTACAATTTAAGAAAGCCTGCATGTAGAAAGTCATTTCATCCAATTATTTCCCAACTACAAAATTTGCAATATTCAGCTGTAGAACAAACTTTTCAAAAACTGGTGAGATTGTTCACCGATCACAAAACAGGTAGCAATGTTTGAATAAAATCAAATTTTGAAAATAATTCCCTCACGTGTAGCTAACATATGAAAAATACAACTGCTAACAAAACTGGCTAAGGAGTTTGAAAATTGTAACTTTTTTGGTTTGGAAATAGCATACATGTACTTCAGCTCTGAAATACATGTAGTAGCATGTACATCCAAAACCTGACTTTTTAACTTCATAAAATGGCCACTCTTCATATTTTTCTTTGTCCATTACAGAGCACAGTGTAAACTGAAGTACCCACTGTTCAAATGGCAACCGGTGCTGTGTCACATTACTAATGACTAACTTTAACACATCTATGGAAGAGAGAATTAGCCACGAGCTGGTGACTTCCATGGGTGTACATGTACACTGTATGTAGCTAGTCGCAGCCAAGTTTATCGCACACAGCCCCTAAAGTGGCTGTCAGTTTTCACGTGTTTGCTAACTGTCCATGGCTGAATAACCACAGAACCAATGAAAGAAATGGACAATAGTTCTCGTGTTCAAAAGTAAGGTCCTGTCACATTTGACAGACAGATGGGTATCATTGATTGAGCTGGTATGATGCTTAAATCAATTTCACTAAGTAAAGATTGTGTTCAACACTTTCCGCAACATGGTCGTTTCCCTAAACCCATATGTATACGCTGCATCAAACGTCTTACAATAATGATTAACTACAATGTAAGGTTAAAATCAATTCTTTTACAGTTCAATTTCAACAAACATACACATATTGTATATTCACAATCATCAGTACTAGGAACTACATGAGTTACAGTACATGTAAATCACAAAGCTAAATCCATATATCTATTACACGTACATGTATATATCCAATTACATATAGAAATGCATGTATAAAATCAAATACAAATGTCTTTTCCAAAATTTTACGGCACAAAATATACACAGAAAAAGCCTTAATAACTAAGAATTATTCACTTTGGTGAAGTTTTTATTCATATTAATTTATAAATTAAAAATCTAAAACTCTTATTTCATTTGAAGTACACTATACATGTACAGTAAACTCTGGCTAAGTCGGCACTCTCACGACTCAAGAAATTATGACGACTTGCGCGAACGGCGACTTGTGCTGTAAGTTGTCATTTTGCTGACTTACACGTACACATGTATCGCCTATGTACATTATGATTCCTTGCACTATTTCAATGGCTTTGATTTACCCTGGTTTATTTCTACCTCCATGGTTGATCCCAGCAAATTTGTTCTCGATTATTATCCTGCAAATTCAATAATTGATCATGTGCTCCTAAGGACGAAGCAAGGACAGCAAGCCACTTGCATATCACATCACAACTCGACATTGCAGTACATACATACATGTACTGTACATGATACAGTTACGGTATAGAAAACATACACTCATCCACCACACACGTGCACTGGTTAAGTTTGTTCAATATAGTCCGGATACCGGACCCGATGATTCTGACTACCCGACAAAACATAATCAAAGGTCCTCTGGGAATCTTTGGGCAGGGAACCAGACTACGTTCAATAAGGCGGCCCCCAGAATGGACAGAGCACATACATGTAGCACTAGAGGGGTTACTGGTATTGATGTACTCATGCTGGCCGCGCGCGCACAGGACTTGTCACTTGACACATCTTGGCAACCACGGCGAAGGAAACTGATACCGACGCACGTTTTTTTTTAATGCCAACTTACGCAAAGGATATTTTGTGGTTTTGTGGAAAAGGAACCGACATGCCGACATACATGTATACGAAATGACGACCTATAAATGCCGACTTAGAAATGAAACTTTTAATGGAAATGCATTACAGACGATCAGGACTGACTTGAACGATGTGACGGGTTACGCGATGCCGACTTAGTCAGAGTTTACTGTACATCAATCTTGACTTTCAGGAATAAAAAAAAGTTGATGTGCAGTCCCCAAAAAGTACATACACTGCATATTTATGGCATGGTGACGACTGCAAGCTGTGCTGGAGCACACAGCAAATGTTACATTGCCATGTGGTACATGTACCACAAAATTCTTGGTTTAGGTTACTCATTTTCAAGAGAGAATCATCCTAAATTTATCAATATAAAAAATTCAACTTGTTCTTGTGGATTAATCCTTGGAGAGCTACCTGTACATGTGGGTTATTTTGGCCCATCTCAAAGCCGGGGGGATCCCCCCCAAAAACAGCTTTGCCGCGTTCAAATTTTTTAAAAACCTTTGCATGCACATGAAGAAGTTCCTTATCATCATACGACTAAAGTTTGATCTCAGTGGTTATTTGAAGTTCAATTGCACTGCAAGGAGAAGTATAAATGTTTGGCTGACCTGTCTCAGAAAAATGGGTGCAGCGCAAAAGCTCCATGTTTGATTTTGCACAAATTGGTGTCAAAATAACTGCAAGGAGTTACTCCAGTAACTTGTAAGGGCTCAGCCCCTGAAAAAAAAGCACTGTAGCAATATCANTTGATCATGTGCCCATAAGGACGAAGCAAGGACGGCAAGCCACTTGCATATCACATCACGACTCAACAGTGCAGTACATACATACATGTACTGTACATGTACATGATACAGTTACGGCATAGAAAACATACACTCATCCACCACACACGTGCACTGGTTAAGTTTGTTCAATATAGTCTGGATACCGGACCCGATGATTCTGACTACCCGACAAAACATAATCAAAGGTCCTCCGGGAATCTTTGGGCAGGGAACCAGACTACGTTCAATAAGGCGACCCCCAGAATGGACAGCGCGTGCGTGTAGCTCTAGAGGGGTTACTGGTATTGATGTACTCATGCTGGCCGCGCGCGCACAGGACTTGTCACTTGACACATCTTGGCAACCACGGCGAAGGAAACCGATACCAAAGCACAATTTTTTTTAATGCCAACTTATGCAAAGGATATTTCGTGGCTTTGTGGAAAAGGGACCGACATGCCGACATACATGTATACGAAATGACGACCTATAAATGCCGACTTAGAAATGAAACTTTTAATGGAAATGCATTACAGACGATCAGGACTTTTGTCAAACGGCTGACTTGAACGATGTGACGGGTTACGCGATGCCGACTTAGTCGGAGTTCACTGTACATCAATCTTGACTTTCAGAAATTAAAAAAAGTTGATGTGCAGTCCCCAAAAAGTGCATACACTGCATATTTATGGCATGGTGACGACTGCAAGCTGTGCTGGAGCACGCAGCAAATGTTACATTGCCATGTGGTACATGTACCACAAAATTCTTGGTTTAGGTTACTCATTTTCAAGAGAGAATCATCCTAAATTTATCAATATAAAAAACTTCAACTTGTTCTTGTGGATTAATCCTTGGAGAGCTACCTGTACATGTGGGTTATTTTGGCCCAGCTCAAAGCCGGAAGGATCCCCCCCAAAAAACAGCTTTGCCGCGTTCAAATTTTTAAAAAACCTTTGCATGCACATGAAGAATTTCTTTATCATCATATGACTAAAGTTTGATCTCAGTCAGATATAATATTGTTATGGTTATTTGAAGTTCAATTGCACTGCAAGGTGAAGTATAAATGTTTGGCTGACCTGTCTCAGAAAAATGGGTGCAGCGCAAAAGCTCCATGTTTGATTTTGCACAAATTGGTGTCAAAATATCTGCAAGGAGTTACTCCAGTAAGTTGTAAGGGCTCAGCTCCTGAAAAAAAGCACTGTAGCAATATCGNGGTAAATTGTTAAAGGCGGAGGGGTAGAAACTGTCAGCTCTTTTTAGGGTTAAGGACACGTACATTCCATTACATGGTACATAGGACGATCTCAGCCTTGTTCCCTGTCAAAGAAAAGAGCTCAATGTAGAAAGATCATTTTAACTGAAATATTCAATGTGATGTTCAATGATTGGAGGCTTTGGGGGAAAAAGATTCCAGCGATCAGATCTGCCTGACACTGAATAGTACTTGTCTCTTGAATCATTTAAAATTGACAAGTATCCAACTGAATGCACATTTGATTTGAGTAGATACAATTAATAGTTAAAATCATGGCAAGAATTTTTCAATGGAAACATCTTTATGGCTTTGGAACTAAAAATCACATATAAAATCAATCCATTGCTAAGTTTAGAATAAATAATAAATATCTGCTGGCACACTGATAAAGATGATGCAAAATAATATAAGTAGAGTTAAAGTGGAATGGTATAAAATGCTTACAACGGTGAGAAGACAATTGAAAATCAATTTTCAGGAAGTACTGAGCTGTTACTGTGTAGTGCAACCTCTACGGGTGACAGAATATTTGCATTAAAATTTACAGTCGAATCTCTTCAACAACAGGTTTTTCAGACTTGGCAAATTACGTTGTTATAACAGAAACCTTGTATTATCTGGAATGAAAACAACTAAGAACAAATGGATGGGGACCTAAAATTTCCTTGTTATGAACAGAATCTTGTATTAACGAGGTCTGACTGTACACAGGAGCACCTGCACATGTGTGTAGCAAGGAAAAATAACAGACTGCAGACATTCATGAAGGGTCCTTTGAAACTGCTCAGAATGTCAATCTCATGAACTACTCGAGGGCAGATCAAGAACCATATTTCTGTGGGGGGAGGTTTTGGGAATTTCTTCAATTTAGACCTTTTATTGTCCTGGGGCATTTCTGCATGCTTACTTGAAGGAGAAATGAAATAGTCCCTGCAAATAACCTACCATTATAATGCATTGTTTAAAAAATTGCTTTTTCTTGGGAGGCCATTTCCCCCGTTGGTGCTGTATAGGATCTGCCAAGAGAAGCTCTTGGAATGGCAAGGAAAAAGTGTGACAAACCACACGTAATGACTGCTATTTCCAGCTCAGCCATGTCAGTGAAAAACATGTTGGAAATCTACTCAATTATTTGACACGTTTTTTGGCAAAGCTACCAAGCAGTGTAAACTCCGAACACACAAAAATCACGGAACTCATTTTTGCCATGAGTTTTGTATTGCTTATAAATCTATTGCCGCTTTAATTGCCGTTCCTAGCAACTGCTTTTGTTTCAGTTTACAGTACCTTTTTTCTTGAGTCTTTTTTCAGCTCTGTCGAGTTTGGCTATATTCTGTTGTAGGGTGCGGTTATCTGGATCCAGCTTCAAAGCTTCCTGGTACTGCCTCCTTGCCTGGGCGAAGTCCCCCTTGAGGTGTAGCATGGCTCCCAAGTTCAAGTGGGCGGAGCTAAGACGAGGGTTCAGTTTCACTGCTTCCTGGTAACTCTGAAAATCAGGACAGGAAATTGGTTACTGATGGTGTCTCCTACAGTTATCAGTGAGAGGAACAAGCTGGGCAGTTTAACAAGAAAGCGGACATTATTTTGGGCATGTTACCGAGCTCTATTAATAATTCACAAAAAAAAAGAGGTTTTACACTTCAAGGTAGTTGTGCTACTTTTCCACTGCCTTTTTTCCCCCAAGACTCTAACAGTTTAAGAATTACTTGTGATAATGAGGTCGGTAACAGTGTGACCAAATTTCCACTGTTTTCATGGAACTGCCCTTCTGTGAAATTTTAGGAAGATGTGTCTTCTAGACTGACAGTCTGACTAATGCTTTCTCCGTCACATCTGTAAGGATATACATGTACAAATGCTTTTCTCTGGGAAGTCTTTCTCAATTTCTTATCCCTGTGGCAGCTTTGGGGGATAAATGTTAATAAGTTTGTTCAGAGTTTATCCAAATATATGTTAAATTAATGCACTCTTTTGTGAGACAAAGGATATACAGAGTTTTAAATGATCGGAAAACTTGAAAATTTGGGCAGTTTCGTTGACACCAGATAAGACACTACGCTGTGAACCAGTCCACAATTAGATTTATTTCACACTATCTACTAGTGGCATTAATTATTTGACACATGCATTGATCCATTCATAAAGTTTCCTTGCCCTATAATATAGAAAAGGGTCTTCCACACAAAGATACTAAATGGAGGAACACGGAGCTCAAGGGTCGACTTTGTAAATAATGGAAACTGTTTCGCTTGAGAGCTGAGAATTACCCATAGAATACAAAATGTCTCCAAGCCAACAAATGAAGATGAATTAAACTGCCTTCTTGTGGACATACTAAACTTTATTGAAACTACTTCATCAGTGGAGGATCGAGGTTCTTCAGCCCAAAAGAGTCAGGGGGGGGCAGAATCCACCCCCCCTCAAATATTTCTGATATTTGCAGTTATTTTTTTTTTCACGAGCTGAGCCTTTAGGAGTTCTGCCCCAACTCCAAAATAACCCAGCTCTATATGGGTTTATTCCATTGATGTCAACCAAAAATGTCTGGACTCGCAATTCTGTTTATCAGCCCGTATGAGTTATTAAAGTCTCTGCCAGGCATCACACTGTGCCGAATACAAAGTTAATACAAAGGCATTGTTAACAGAATCGTTTGTGGGATAAATAGTTACAATGGCACATATGCCAACCATTACCTTTGCATTTGGCATGGTAAGAAGGCCGCTGGTGGCTTTCAATGCAAAAGTATTGCAAGTCCAGAATTTTTTGTAAGACATCCATGGTTTATCCAAGGTGCTGTTAGTCTAGCAGTTGTCTACTGCAGCTGGTCCACAGTACATAACGAGGAGAAACTACAGCAACCAGTCATGGTCATGATCTAGTCAACACTAGCCACGTCACAACTGAGCCTACCTGGATAGCCTCCTGATCTCTGGCCAGTTCCTTAAGGCAGTTACCGATGTCAAACAGTAGGCTGGCCTTTCTGACATCCTCAGCATTAGGATCCAATTGTAGAGCGACTGTAGCATGTTTCAAGCCCTTTCAAAACAACAGACGATACCGGTATGTAACAACAATTTATGCATTGACGGTCTCTGCAACCCAACAGAATGCATTCTCAGAGTTCAAAGAGGTCACTGCTCAAGTCTTCATTATGACTGGTATCAGTGCAAGTCTGTGTCTAAATTTGCCGTGTAACTGAGTGGCGTTTTGACGCGCCACCTAAAAAGTCCATCTCCTTATTATGTATCAATGCCTGGAGATAAAAGAAATGGGCACAGATTCCTTAATTGACAAACACACAATTAAACAGAACAAATATCAAACATTAAATAGCAGCATGGACTTGAGATTTGAGAAGAGTCTGACATACCTCACTGTGTTTTCCAGCAAGTACATAGACACTTGCCAGCTGACGATGGGCCTCTGCAAAGTCTGCATCCAACTCCAGAGCCACGTGGAGCTCTCGGATAGCTTCCTTCACTTTGCCCAGTGTCGCCAGGACTTGGCCCTGCATGACAGATCAAACAAATCGACAGATAGCGGTGGGATGCATTCCAAATTTAGGTTAGATACGGAGCTGTTGGAAAGGCTTGATTAAACACTTGCCTCCGGGGTTTCCTAATCGGGACACGTATGCTTCAGACGCGTGGCCAGGGTCTGCGAAATTGGACAAAGGGAACAGGGCCCTGTAACAAAAGACCGTACTCCAAACAAAAGACCAGGCTGCTGGGCATTACCAACATTTACTCATTCTCAAAAGTGAGTGATAATGCAGCCTTGTTTTGAAACAGTATACCACGGTTTGGGGGATTTAGTGCGAGTGGATTACCATTGGGGACAAAAGTGCTCCACCACCGCAGCGATAAGCCACACAGCACCGCTGCACGCTAATCTGGCCCCTATTGAAAAGAGGTCAGCATCGCACAGGTTCGTGAACAAAAGAAGGTTTCATAACACTGCACAATCTGGGCTTTTTTAAAAGGCTGCAGGCCTGGCTGAAATACTTGGGCGTCAATAGATTTTGTCCGTCAGATTAAAGTAGCCACCAGACAGTCATTTGTGTGGGTGTAAACGTCCATTAATTGAAATCATGAATTTTTGAAGAAGTTTGAAAACTGAAAATCTTGCAAATGTCCCGTTTGTATGCACTGCATTTTTCAAACCACCCGGCAGCAAGTGGTTAATAAGCTGCTCGATGCTGAATGAGCACATGCTTGATCTCTGCTTGATAGCTACTCAATTTCTTCTCAATCTCTGCTCAATGCACGCTTGATCTTCGCTGGATGTTGCTTTTGATTCCCTCTCAGTCAAGGCTCGATGCAGTTGAAATCAGGCATGTGAAATTTCTGCATTTCAGCGTTTTTAATGTCGCCACTCTCCACACTTTTTGGAGACTCTGTGTTTTTAAGTCCGTCCACAGATTGTTTTTTTGGTGCAGGGCAGCTGTGCCTGCGGGCTATGCGGATGTACATGTATCACACTATGACACACTACATAGTGCAGAAGGCCATACGTATCAGAGATACTATTACCAGGGTTCCTAGCGTCAAGACCCCCAAAAATTCAAGGACTTTTAATGACTTTTATGGTCCATTTTCAAAAAACGTCACTTTCAGGTGTAATTTTACCTGAATCAATTTGTTGCAAGGACGTCACAATCTGAGAAATAAAGTCTTTTGAATCAAAATTCCATGACATTTTCCAGATTCTGATCAAATGGAAGTAACAATGGATCACCCGTTTGTGTTAGGTTGACTCACGTAATGTGTTCTTGACTCAGCACTCTGAGGATTGAGCCGTATTGCTTCCCTGTATGCTTCCTCAGCCTTCTCTGGCCTGTCAGTGTTGAAATACAAAGCCCCTAAGCTTTCCAGCAAGCCAGCTCGTCGCTCCAATGACAGTGCCCTATGAGAGGAGTTGGAAGAAAATGTAATGCTTTGATGTTGGTCTTTATTTCATCTGAACATAATTATATCTCTCCCATTCTACATGTGCAGTTTTTCAAAGTTTGGCCTGATTAAGAAAGAACAAAGCATGATACAACAGCTCACAACATGAGGCCGATGGACATGAAAACCTTATGTTAGAATAAAAACCTGATAAGTTAACAATAGGCTTACTTTTTTACAGAATAGAAAATGTCCCACGTGCTTGGAACATGCTACGTGAACCAAAAAGGAAAAGTGGAATTTTTAAAAGTCACGACAGGTTAACCAAACCGGAAAACTGTAACTGTGTAAGTGTCCAAACGGTTAATTAACCGTTAAAACGGATTCAATTTGCAGGCTTACCCCCTGACCCCCCCCACTTCTGTCACCAGGGCAGATTAAAGAGAGATTGATAAAATCAGTGATAAGCTGTGGCAGAAGTTCAAAGAGAATGGTCTGAACGTAAGCTGTGTTCATCAGTGGTTGCATTCAATAAGCTTACACGTGTAAGTCAAACTTACACGAGAGCGTTCGTTTAGCCATCACGTGATGTTCGTGCCTGCCCTGGTGTCAGCCACCACTACCCCGGCTGGCGAGCGGGTCTCTGGAGGCTGCCCGAGTGTAATGACGTCACGGATGGACTGTTTGAGCATGGACATGATGGAACGTGGCAGGGACTTGACCTTTTTCCCAGAAAGCCTTGGCAAATACACTGCAGCGTTCGATTAGCCTCATTTCGAGGCTTCCCTTGGTAACACTGGTGTATTCAGGGAAGCTAATCGAACGCACCCAATGTAAGGCATAAAGCTTGATTTATCGAAATGTAACAATGTCAGTGAACCAGCATAGAAATGTATCTGTTAATTATTTTTGTTTTTCATTAAATCTTGAGTTACAAAATTGATATTTTATTTATCCTAAAATTCGTGAAGCTACTACTCAGGATTGATCTCTGATGCATGCTGTGGCAAATCTCAGTTGATTTGCAACTTCATAATGTTCGGTAGGTTTTGTGCACAAAATATTGGGAGCCAAGGATGATGTTCGGTACAGCCGAATGTTCGGTATAGCGACGTTCCACTGCACAAATATTCTATGACAAAGTTAGCACCATTAATGTGTTTCATGTGCCTCTACATATTCATTGCTACTGGGCCTACATCAATCGTTATCCACACAGCAACCCATTTTCAAACTATAAAACAAGCTGAACATTGCATGTCTTTTTCCATGTTACAAGAAGAAACTCGCTGATAGGTTTAATAAACATCTCTAATAATCTCGTTGGTACATGTATGTAAGCTAATTATCTTGCAGACGGTTGGTAATAGTCGCAAATCTTCAGTATGCATGGTATAACAGTTTATGATAACAGATATTGCCAGTTGCAACAAAAGACTATTTAAAGCACCTCTAATAATCCGCTAGAAGTGGGCATTGGGATTTTTAAATATTCTGTATGTGAATGATCAACCCCAGCAATGGGGCTAGCTCAAAATATATGTGATACTTTGCCATACATGTACATTAAAAGTGGACGTCTTGCATTTTTCTCAAATTTGTGAAGAATAAGCCTAACTGTTCGTGTTTCCCTCCAACAATGGTTTTATCATCTTCTGGCCCTGCAAATATTAGATATAAATGACAAACTGCTAGGAAGGGCATCTCACTTGCTCACCTTAAAAAGAGCTGTTCAGCTTGACTCGTCTGGCCCAGCCTCCTCATGAGGCGGGCAAGGTTACCAATGGTTACGGTATGGTTCGGCTGAAGATGCAAGCATTCTTCATACTGTATACGTGCATCCTCGTAGCGACCTGCAAACAGCACCGAGTTAATTAATTCACATATAATCCTTCAGCACTGAGCCCAAGTACCGATCAAATCTTTTGTGATAAGGTAAATATTCAAGCCAAAATCCTTAGGTTTACTGTGAGGGACTGTAAATGATCACAAGAATGCTTCACTACAGATAAACACAAACTGTGACACACTACAATCCGTCAGGAAGGGGCCAATTTCTCCAACTTTCAGCACAGTAACATGCTTTGGAAACAGTCTTTGTACATCTACATGTCCAAGTCATTTGCCCAAAACACAAACCTTATGCACAAAGCTATATCAGTGAAATTAATGAAAAGTTCCAAAATCTACACTTTGTCTTTGTAAATGCTCGGTGATTCTTACTGCAAACAGGCTTGATGTTTCTGTTTTTAGTACAAAGCCTATAAATATGCCACTGTGTTAGTGCTCAGAGCTGGGTTTGGATGATTCAGGAAAGATGACAAGCAGAAACATGAATTTCAACACTGTTTATCTAGTTTTTGGACAAATAACATGAACTTCAGAAGCAGACCAAAGAGCAGGCATGCCCGGCACATACCCTTCACCCAATTTTTCAATTTTCTTCGGGGGAAGGGGAATGTGCATTACCTTTTCTTTGTTTCTTAATTCTCCTTTTGCCCCATTTGGGGTGACCCCTTTCATAAATGCTGGGCACCCCTTGATGTTTTGTGAATCCTAGATTCGCCACCGACTCCTTCTGTCGCTGACAATCTACATACTGTTTATGTTTCAGTGCAATTCCGCCGGTGAAGAAGTAGACAAAGTTAAAAAATGGAAATTTAACATAACTTCAGAACTAAAAATGTCACAACCCCAAATGTCACAACCCCCAAATGTCAAATCAAAGAGGATTAGCATATCTTTCATATGAGTGATGTAACATTGAAATTTGATTCAGTTGAGAGTGTTTTGGGGGTTAAAAATTTGTTTTGGGGGCAAAAATCATTGATATTTTGCACCCATTTTGGCACATTGCATTGACATGCTAAACTTGAGTGTTAATGTCATTTTTTTGTCATCATATCAAAGAAAAAGGTTCACAATACATGCTAAAAGACTTTTTGGGTTGATTATTAGTCCTTCACATTTTACCTTTTGCCAAAGATCAGTGGACAAACTGCAACGTAACTAACTGTAATGAAACTAACCAAGATTTTTAGTTATTGCTTAAAATTGATTAGGGAAATTCAGAATAACTGTCAGAATAATTTTTATTCAGGAGGCAATTACAGAAATACCATGATTTCACCCCGCATTATCCAACTTCAGGGAAAACTGGTTGCAAAGACTGACATGTTTTATTCAGTCCATTTTTTGTAACATAAGTAACCAAAATTAAATGTCAAATTACATATCACAAAACAAGAGACACCAAATTTCCTAATGGCTGTGTTAGGGAACCTGTTTAGATGTATTGATGGTTCCAATATGGAGAACTAATCCCAACAAATGACGATGTAGGATCCCAAACCGTCATGCAACAGTGCTTAAAATGTAACGAAGCTAACCATGGAATTGCCCTTTACCTGAATTAGTCAGGAAGGCTCCGTAGTTATTGCAGAAGTCTCCATTCTTTGGCTCTAAAGTGATGGCATTCAGGTAGAATTGTTCAGCTTCCAGGAGTTGACCTTTGCCTTCTAGCAGCGAGGCAAGGTTGGTGTGGACGTCAGCGAACTCGGGGTCCAATTGGATGGCACGGCGAAACAGCACCTCGGCATCTCCATGATGGCCATACTTGCTGTCAAACAAAGTATGATTCGATCGCATCATTTGGGTATCATGCAAATGTAGATAAAATGTACAGTACAATGCTGCAACAATAAAAGCATTGGGGTCCACTCAAATTGTTTGCTATGTGCCTGATAAGGAGTAATGATACGATTAACTTCTTGGTATCATTTGCATGTATAAGGACTGTACAAATGTCTGTTATTGTCATAATATTCGGTCGGTAGAGTTCAAGCTACAGTACAGGGCAGAATTTTAGCTGACACGCTAACACGATCAGTGAACCTGACACGCTGTTCAATACACGCTTGGTGGTTCTTACTGTGCATTGCTGGTCCAATGCACGATAAGCCAGAACCCGGACCTCTTTATCTCGCCAGGACTTTTGACCACAGACAGCGAAGGTCACCAACAGCGTGTAGTGAACCACTTCACACGCAGAGCCGTTGCTCCAGCTTCGTGTATGCTTGTATGGCAGTGCACTGAATATGTGAAATCAGGTAGCATCTGACCGGCAAAATGACCGTCATGAAGTATCAAAGTATATATGATACAGCTGTTTTCCTATAGTTTTGGATCGCGAAAGTTATTCAGTCAGATTATGTCTGAAAAATGTCAAATGTTAGTGAAACTGGCCAGTAGTCCACTGTGTGTGTTTGGATACTAAAAAACTTTTTCAAAAAATGTAAGCTTTGAATTCAAACTCACGGGATGGACTGATGAGACGACAATGCTTTTCCTGCTGGTTCTAACGCTAGATTGGTTCAAGCTATTCTGGATTACGCAGGAAACTTTTTCACAAATAAAAAGTAACCACGAAAGAAATCCATTCATCGGGCGGAGCCACCATAACAAGCTGATTCTCCAATGAAGTATTTCTTAATTTGGGGAAATTTAGTTCATGTATCAGAACTCCAGTAAATTAAAAACAACCTCCTGAACTTAACTTTTTCAGCTGCCCACATCAACAATAGACGTAGTGCCGCAACCAAGCAATCACAAAATTACAACCACCCCAGGGCTTTCATCCCAACCACCAATCATAAATCGGAAGAACCGTACATGTATTGCATATTTATTTCAATACAGCTCCCACAAATGCAAAGCTACAGCCCTTACAAGTCACACGACATGCATATTTATGAAGTTCACATGGGTGCTACTTTGTCCGTTGTGTACAGCCGGTGCGTGCAGACTTGACTTCCTTTATTTCGGTACAATCTTTGCTGTTTAGTTTGGTCATAATTTTGTCACAATCAGAGCAATTTCTTTTGGTAGATTTTCCAGCTCAAGGGTCAAAAATTGATGGGAATAACCACCACCTTCACATTGAATTTATATTCACACGATTTTGAACACACTGAGCTCGATTACGGAGGGTATTGCAACAACTTTCTATGCGTATGCTAGGATCTCCATTGCGGGGGCCTTCTTGACTAAAAGTTGGCTTGCGGACCGGAGAGGTCAAACCCTGTTTATATAATGTGGATTTCTTTTAAAATAGTTTTCTCTAATAAGGAAATACTTTGTCATAAAAACTGCTTGTTATGGTTGTCTCGGTTGAAAAATGGATTTCATGCTCAGGTATTTTCTGTGTCTGATTCAGAGGTTTTTGGAATGATTCAGACATAAAACCAAGTGTCGCCTGCGTGGCACTCTCATCAATCCTGTATGGCCAAACAAAAAACTTTATCTTTGAAAATAATTTTGTGATGCCTGCTAAATACAAGGTAAACTACTGACAACATTTCCCTGGAATTTGAAAATACGTGTAACTTGAGCTGCAGTCAAACTGAATACTTTTCATTATGGGAAACTACACGCAGGAAAACGACTGCTCTGGTCAACAAAGGCCTGGCTGTTCTGGGGTTTGTGTGTAGCGTTTGTATATTTATACTCAGCAGATCAGGTTGCGGTGTCGGCGTTCTCTGTTATGCAGGAGTCAGCGTGTATCATGTTTGCTGTTTACTCCTTTCATGTCTGTTGGACTCTATACACACTGACACGCTAAAGCGTGTTGGCTCAAATTCTGACCTGTATTGTATGCATGTCAGTCTTTCAGCAACCTTTCTATCAAGCTAGATCAAAACACAATGACACTTTCAGAGCTGAAGACTTCATCAGTGAAATTTGGAAATGCAAAAAAATGCTAACCCACCTGAGATGACTGGCAAGATTGAAGTGTGCCCTGACGTGGTTTGGATTGATGAGAATCGCTCGGCGGTAGTGGGCCTCCGCCTGTTGGGGATCGTCCTTCAGCAGGGTGCCCAGGTTGTTGTTAGCACTGGCATGGTCTGGCCACAGTCTGAAAACAGAACAATTCCCTACAAACTCACCAGACTGGTAAATCCACTGCAAAATTACCTTGGATGTCATGAAAACTTTCCGCCAGCACAATTAAATTAATTGCTTTCCATAAGTAGGCAATGAAGTGCCTCATGTTTGTGTAAAGTAATACCTTCTCAAAAACTTTTCCTATGATGCAATTCCTCTGAATGAATCCCTTGCCATGCTATTAAAATGTAATGTTAACAAAACCGTCGTGGGAAAAACATTTTTTCTGCGCTGTGGTTCCTTTTAATAGTTAATACTGCATTTGAAAAAGTCTTTCAAATAAATAAGCACTTTGATTTTTAACATGCGTGACAAATATGACCCACATTCACATGCAGCTTGACACTAAAAAAAACAGAGTCTTCTGATCAAGTTGATGAAAGCGATGGAGTCAAAAGAAATGCCAATCTGTGCGTACCAGAAACTTGTCAATCTTCTGTTCAACCATCCCTTCCCCCAGTTTCTAATGGATCCGTCCCCTTTGGATACATCAACCAAAGCCCATTTTCTGAACTGACTCTTCAATTTCACCTGAGGGATGTTCTGTAATGGTTTATGGCCTCTTGCTTCTGCCCACTGTCCATAAGGAAGTTAGCATAGTTGTAGTGCATCTTGGCATTGTGTGGTAAGGTCTCCAGGCCAGATCTGTCAGAAACAGGGGCCAGAGGCAATCAAGAATGGCTCGATCAATGAATATCAGACAGAGGACACGAACACAAGATACAAGCACCAGCAACACCAACCATGGCAACACACTGCATTCCAAACCAAAACCCAAATGTTGACACATATACATGTACCACAAGGGGCTGATTTTTATGTTTATAATAATTATTGCATAAAAAGTAAATAAACTCATTACGTAACTTTTTCTTTTCTCAGTGTCTTCAAAATCTGCCCAAGTAGACAGTCATGGAAATTCACTTGAACTAATGGGCTGACTCACACATACAACTGCAATTCTTAAAATTCAAAACACTTCACAGCCAAGATGCCATGATTTATTAGACTTTCTAAATTGTTTTGTCTGTCACAAAAATATCAGTTCCTAACAATTTAAATTTACAGCAGCAAAGTTGCTTTGCATGTTTTATTAACTGGAAATTATGTTCAGATTCAGATCTCGCATTTAAAAATACCTGGTCTCGGTCTTTATACTGGTTGGCTAAAATATGGATATGTTGGGTTCACTAATACAGGCTTGTGCATGAAATTTGCATCAGCATAAACTGGATGCATGCCCAAACACCTCACACATAATTTCCTGAGTACACTGGGCAGGTTTTAGTGCCCTCACATGATGAGAACAGTGAATAGCAGTTCAAAAGCTGAATCTTGGGAAACTGGAACTGCTCTCTTAATTGTAGAATTGCTTGTTAAATTGCTGATGAGTTAATGGTTGAATTGAAACAGTTCAGTGGTAAAAGCCCCAATAGTTTTCTTTTCATATTTTACATTTTGGAGAGGAGAGGGGAGTTATAAAACAAATACGGACTGGCATGATTTGGTCACCTATGCACATCCACCCATTTCTGGTCAGTCACAGTCTCTCAGGGTGCCCTCTAGGGTATCACTGTAATCAACTTTTGAATATGGAGCTGGATGGATACCCCGAAAACCTCAATTTGAGCATCTCTCAGAATCGAGCCAGGGAGTGCTCATTACAATTGCATACGACGCTACAGCACAGTTTTGAAAACTTTAATGTTGCCTCTCAGAGCGATCTGGTCTACCTACCTGAACAGGGATTCCCTTGACTTCCAGACCTGATTCCTGCTGACAGTTTTGCTGATGTACAACAGTGTGATCACAGTGACAAGAAGTCTTAGGGTGGTGCTTCCGTGCTTACCAATCAGCCCTCGCAGCTTACTGAGAGCATGAGCAAACAGGATGCAATAGCCCATACTGGCAGAACAGACACATAAAGACTTAGCCGTCATACACTGTATTCACTCTTTTCATGCATGCCAAACACACCTCATGGGACTGTTTTACAGTCTGTATGCTTTCAGAAACGTGGAAGGTCGATCGGCCATCATTCTCCTCTGGTGTGCATTTTTTAAGGGGAGGGGTTCAGAGGACACAATAAAGTTTGAACATTCACAAAAAAGGATGACGAAATCGAGGAACCCTGGTTACAAGTTGGATTGATACTCCTGAAATACTGACGGGTAAATAGCAAATGCTTTTACCTTGGTATGTAAAGAATTCTTTCAGCCACCACAAAGCCGACCCTGATGAAGAGATTAGAAGCAGGGAGGAATGGTATTGCAAGGAATGACATCCCTAGGACTAAGACTCGCCTCTCCTGGTCCTGGAAGGAAAGCCAATAGATGGACAATGGGTATTCATGATGACATTTTATGAGACTGGATAGCTATCTTATGAGGAGAATGTTGAAGCCAACTCATCCACTGCGCATGCAGCATATTTGAGTTGCTGGCTTTTTTCCATTTTGAGGTCTAATTAGTGATTGTCATGTGTCAACAATCGAAAAATGCTTCCCCTTCGATCAGCTGAAGAATGAAAATACACTTGGCATAAAATTCTCTCTTTTGTTAAGAGTTTCGACGCAACCAATTTTTCAAAACTATTTTAGCTATTGTACATGGATGTCATATGCAAGTGTTAAAGGACTCTCACACCAACAGGTTGTCGTGACTAGCCAAAAAAGTGTGCAAACCTATAGTTTAAGAATTATGGTATA